CTTAAATGCTCCAAGAAAACTTTCCCCACTTGCTTTCTCTTTCATCCAGTGGGATCTCTGCTTATCTCTGCAGATGGTGGTTCTTTACCATCTGCCACGATTTTTATACTTTTATCATTTCTCTCCCTACCCATCCCACCTTGTTTGGCTTTCCCTTGGTTTTCCACCTCTCTCCTTGAGTACTAGTTCCTTGTGGCTCAGTGTACTCTCCATGGAGACAGCCCACCCAGTCTCACACCTAACTCTTGCTGCTCATCCAGTAGGTGGGACAATGTTTTTCACAAAATATATTTTTTTCTGGTCTCTATGATTTGTCCATAAAGAAAAGTCTCTCTGAGGTACTAGGAACTCTGTAGGAAATTCTGAGACCATAAACCAGATTTATGTGTCCTGGGTCTGTGCATACAGGCAACTGATCATAGTGGTTAAGATTATGGACTCTGGAGTTACACTGCTTGGCCCTAAAGCCAGATTCCACCACTTAGTAGCTCTATGACTTTTGGCCAATTCCTTAACCTCCCTGCGCTTAGTTTTCTCATCTGCAAAAGGAAGATAATCACAGAACGCACCTCAGATGGTTTTTCTGAGAATTAAAGGAGTTATATATACGGCCCCTAGAATTCTGAGAATTAAAGGAGTTATGTATACAGCCCCTAGAAAAATGCTGTAAGTGTTTACTGTCTTTTTCTTTGTATGTCGATAGCTACAAAATGTGTTTACTATTTTTTGTCATTGCAAGAAAGGTATGTTTTATTTTTTTTAATTCAGGATATTATAGGGGTACAAACATTTTGGTTACATGTAATGTGTTTGCCCTGCCCAAGCCAGGGATACAAGCGTGTCCCTCCCCCATATAGTACGTTCCGCTTCCATTAGTTGTGGGTTTACTCCCCCAAATGCTCCCCACCTGACTGGCACCCAATGAGTATTACTACCATGTGAACACCTTAGTGTTGGTCAGTTAGTACCAATTTGATGGCAAGTACATGTGGTACTTGTTTTTCCATCCTTATGATACCTCATTTTGAAGGATGGGCTCAATCTTTATCCAGGATAATATAAGAGGTGCTAGATCACCATTGTTTTTTGTAGTTGAGTAGTATTCCTTGTAGTTGAGTAGATTGCTTTGGGGGTCTTCTTCATAAATTCTTTGCCTAGGTCGATGTCTAAAAGAGTCTTCCCCACATTTTCTTCCAGAATTCTTAAGGTTTCATGCCTTAGGTTTCAGTCTGTTATCCATTGTGAGTTGATTTTTGTGAGAGGTGAGAGGTGGGGATCCAGTTTCAGTCTTCTGCATGTAGCTATCCAATTTTCCCAGCACCGCTTATTGAATAGAGATTCTTTTCCCCAATGTATATTTTTGTCTGCTTTGTCGAAGATTAGATGACAATATGAGGATGGTTTTACATCTGGGTTCGTCATCCTATTCCAAAGGTCTATGTCTCTGTTGTTGTGCCAGTACCATGCTGTTTTGGTGACTATAGCCTTGTAGTAAAGTTTGAAGTCTGGCAGACTGATGCCTCCCAATTTGTTCTTTTTGCTTAAGATTGCTTTGGCTATACGAGGTCTTCCCTGGTTCCAGACAAAGCATAGAATTATTTCTTCTAAATCTGTAAAGAATGATGATGGTATTTTGATAGGAATTGTATTAATTCTGTAGATAACTTTGGTAGTATGGTTATTTTAACAGTATTGACTCTACCAATGCATGAGCATGGTAGGGATTTCCATCTGTTTATATCTTTAACAATTTCTTTTCTCAGTGTTTCTTGTTCTCCTTATATATGCCTCTTACCTCCTTCATTAAATATATTCCTAAATATTTGATTTTCTTTGATACTATTGTGAAAGCTGTTGCATCTTTGATTTGATTTTTGGCTTGACTGTTATTGGCGTATGTGATTGCCACTGATTTGTGTGCGTTAATTTTGTATCTTGAGACTTTACTGAATTCATTTATCAATTCCAGGAGTCTCTTAGTTGACTCCTTGGAATTTTCTAGATATAATAGCGTATCATCAGCAAAGATATACTATTTGACTTCCTCTGCCCTGATTCGGACACCCTTAATTCCCCTCTCTTATTGCTCTGACAAGGACTTCCAGAACTATGTTGAATAGAAGTGGAGATAGTGGGCAACCAGAGTTCCTGTTCTAAGCTGAAATGCTTTCAGTTTTTCCCCATTCAGTATGATATTGGCAGTGGGTTTATCATATATGGCCTTAATAATTTTAAGGAATGTCCCCTCTATGCCTATTTTGTTAAGAGTTTTTATCATAACAATGTGCTAGATTTTGTCAAATGCTTTTTCTGCATCTATTGAGAGAATCATATGGTCTTTGTTCTTGGTTTTATTTATGTAGTGAATTGCATTTATAGATTTGGGTATGTTGAACCACCCTTGCATCTCTGGGATAAAGCCCACCTGGTCATGGTGAATTACTTTTTTGATGTGCTGTTGGATTCAATTTGCTAAGATTTTGTTGAAGATTTTTGCATCTATATTCATGAGGGATATTTGTCTGTAGTTTTCTTTTTTTGTTTTGTCCTTTCCTGGCTTTGGTATCAAGGTGATATTGGCTTTGTAAAATGAACTGGGGAGGATACCATCCTTCTCAATGTTGTTGAATAGTTTCTGCAATATAGGTACGAGTTCTTCTTTGTAGGTTTGGTAAAATTCAGGTGTGAACCCATATGGTCTGGGACTTTGTCTTTTTGGAAGATTTTTAATTGCTGCTCTAATTTATGTGCATGATATTGGTCTGTTCAGGAATTCTGTGTCCTCCTGATTGAGCTTAGGGAGGTTGTGTGTTTCCAAGAATTTGTCCATTTCCTCCACATTTTGTAGTTTTTGGGCATATAAATTTTTGTAGTATTCAAAGATAATGCTTTGCATTTCTGCGATGTCTGTAGTGACCTCTCCTCTTTTATTTCTGATTGGGTTTATTAAAGTCCTTTCCTTTCTAGTTCTTGTCAATCGAGCAAGAGGGCTATCAATTTTGTTTATCTTTTCAAAAAATCAACTTTTGGTTTTATTGATCTTCTGTATAGTTCTTTTATTCTCAATTTCATTTAGTTCTGCTCTAATTTTAGTTATTTCCTTTCTTCTGCTAGGTTTAAAGTTAATTTGCTCCTCCTTTTCTAGTTCCTTGAGACAGTTTACTAGTTTGTTGATTTGTGAGCTTTGTGTGTTTTGGATGTGAACATTTAATACTGTTAGTTTTCCTCTCAGGAATGCTTTTGCTGTATCCCGCAGATTTTGATAATTTGTGTCCCTGTTATCATTTAGTTCAAATAATCTTTTGGTTTCCATTTGAATCTCCTCCTTGACCCAGTAGTCGTTGAGCAATAGATTGTTTAATTTCCATGACTTTGTGAAGTGGTGAGGGTTTCTGTTGGAATTTATCTCTAATTTTATACAACTATGGTCTGAGAAGGTACATGGTACAATTTCTATTTTTTTAACTTTGAGGTCTGATTTGTGGCCTAGGATGTAGTCGATTTTGGAGAAAGTTTCACGAGCTGGTGAGAAGAATGTATATTCAGCTTTATTTGGATGGAGATTGTGGAGAGCAAGCCCTAGAATTATGTTCTTATTAGATGACCTAAGCCGGTCCAGTGGGTCGGATCTATGGGCTGTCAATTATTGTACAGGGCCCAGGTCCTGCAGATTCATGCCAGTTGCACAGGGAAAGTGGCTTTTCTCGGTTCTCCCCACCTCCAAGGGCAAAACCCGCCACAATGGGCATGAAAGTCGCTGGGCAAGGGGAAGGGTGTTGCCTGACCACTGAGTGCACCAGCATCCCGGGATCCCACTGCTGGGGGCTTTCCACCACTGGGGAACTAGCGTTGGGGGGCGTTGCTCAAATCGCCCACCAACACAGGCCTGGCTAGCAGAGTCAACAGGTCATAGATGTCCAGTGGATTCACACCAGCCACACAGAGCAAGGGGCTTTTTGCACTTCTCCCCACCTCTAAGGGCGGAACCTGCTGCGCCCAGCGCGAAAGTCTCCAGGCTGGGCAAGGGGTGCCACCCAAAACCATAGCACGCTGCACCGAGTTCCGGACCCCAAAAATGGAAGCCGCCCACCCACGGACAGCTAGCACCAGGGGTAATTGCTCAGGAGTTGGCAGACGCCAGTTCGGCGGGCTGAATCAACAGGACACCGGCTGTCTCTTATGTGTCACAGTCCCACAATCTCACGCCTGTCCGACAAAAAATCTTGCTCTTTCTGTCCCGCCCTGAGCCAGCTCAATCCTCAGCGGTTTCCAGGGGAAGATCCCCCTTTTCGGTGTTTACCTCCTTTGTTCTGGCCCTGCTGACCAACAGAGGTGAGATGCCTGTCTCCAAATTCCCTCGTGGGGTGCAGGAAGTAACCACTCAGATCAGTGCCTCCCTGCTCTGTGCAGTCCTAGCACAGAGCACCAGGGAGTTCAAGATGTTTCCTGCCGTTGTCCCCTCTCCACAGAACCCACCGTCTTGTGCCACAGCTCTGCACTGACTGCGGGCACATCCCTGTCTGCATGGATGTGGAGGTCAGTGGGGGAGCCGGGCATCCTCCTGTGGGTCATGTCCCACTGTGCTCTCTGACCAGGCCAGCACGGCCGTCCCACGCTCTATTCTCTGCTGTTTATCTCATATTTTCCAGACTTGGTGATTGTATCTCCCATTCCAACTGCCCCCTCCTTCCCTCCTTTTTTATTCCCCTCCCTTGCACGTCCCATGCTGTTTCTCTGCAGCTTCACAATGCTGTTCTTGCGGGAGAGTGATCCACTCCTGTGTAGCCGTCTGGGTTCTTCACCTCCCTCTCTGGGAGCAGAGAGCCAGGAGGTCACCTCTATTCCACCATTTTTTCTTCTCTGCCCATGTTTACTACTTTTAATCATCATCACCTTTCCATGGAATGTCAGACCTGGGTCAAATTTTGTTTTTAAGATATTAATAATCATCCTTATAAAATTATTTCTTTTTTCTTTCTTCATGATTCTCATGGTTTCAGGTTTCCCTGGGACTTCTGCATGCCCATGCCACACATATCCTGTGGCCTCCAGAGCGCTGGCAGAAATTGGAATCTGTTCTTCCTCCAGAGCGTTTACTAGTACAGAGTGAAGAAGAATGACTGCATGGACCTACCTGAGCTGTTCGTATTGGAAGGCAAATTACTGGAAGAAGGATAGAGAAAAGGAAACTCCAAAAGGGAAAACTTCCAACAATACGATGCTGTGCAAGAAACATTTATATTACATTAAGATTTGTATTGTTAAAACTTTTAAAAATGTTAAACAGTATTAAATGGCACCTGATTTTGTGTTAAATTTTAATACCCTATTGTTTAATGCCCCTCCAAAAATGTACAGACCTTTGAGAATGTGAAAATATTGTACCCATATGTCTTAATGGGGATAACCTTGAGATTATTTGTTATGCATACTTATTCTATTGATTGTTGGGTTTTGATTTTGGTGCTTGCTGCTGAAAGAATTTGAAAATTAATATTTGATGAAAATAATTTATTTGCCATTTACTGTTAAGATGGAACAATATATAGAGTCACATACATACAGTGACAAAAATTATATTGTGATTGACAGTATCTACAATGTAATTGCCAATTGAAAACAACAATAAACTATGATGTTAAAATAAAACAATGATTTGTACAGGTCCTGTTTTGAGTGTTTAGTTATCATTTAGCTTATACATCCATTCATGAATAATATGTTATCTTTTCTGTAAGGAAGAAGTATGGGAGAACTAGTTCGATCAATAACTTCCATAAAATCAAACCCTTCTTTTTGGCCCTTTTTGATCCAAAACTTCTGAGTGATCTCATGCCTGTTTGCAATGAATAAACCCATTTATCAGCATTCAGTCACTATTTGGGAAAAAGTTCTGAGTGAAATGGAAAAAATTCACTCTAGATCAACAAGTTTTGTTTCCCTCCCCCAGTGATTTCTCAGTGTTCATGTCTGTTATGCAGAGGCGAGTAGCAGTAGAATAACAGATTCTGTAATTTGTGCAGATAAGGAGGTAAATTCTCTGCACACAAGTCTATATTTATGAAGCCTTTCTTCTTTTTTTCTCCCATTGGTTAGAGGTTTGTGCTGATGGAAACAAAGCCTCTTGGTCAATTCCCTCTGTTCATTTGGTCTCTTTTTCTTCATCAACAGGCAAGATCCAAAATAATGACTAGCCATCTTGCAAATGTGGGTGCTAACCCATTATTAGCTGGCAGAAACAGAGCAATAGCAAAAAGCATGCATATTAAGAGCATATGTTACTACTAACAATTTAGTATTAGCATCACAATAGCTCATTCAACAAACATCCATGAGCACTTATGTACTAATGTTGGTCAAACTTGTTGTTTTTAAAACACAGATCTCAAAATCCTTCTGTGGATCTTCATTGCCTGTCTCAATTCTTCAATTCCATTTCCTCTCTTCTCCAACTGGAACTTCATACTCTTGCCTTTAATTGCAGCTTACCAAATACTCACCTGCTATTTCAAGCCTTATGTATTTTTTTCTTCTTGGCAAAGTGCATCCCTTGGGATTATAGATAAAACATTTAGTGCATAAGGGTATTGACTCTTACTTGCTGAAACACAAGAAGGTCTGATGGCCACGGAAGAGGGGAGTCCTGAAGGAAGATAGAATAAGTAACAGAGAGGGAAGTGTGTGGAGTAGCTGCTATTTACCACTGGAACTAAAGAATTTAATATTTTAACAGTTTAGCAAACTGCATATCAGCCTTGCAACCTTATTTATGACCTGTTCTATTCTTACTCAAACTATTTTTCTAAGACTATAAATCTTCAGAGAGGTGATAAATGCCCTTTCTATTTAATTTTGTATTCTCTGTCTAGCATGTTACCAGCAGAGTTAATGCCTAATGCTTGTTTTATTATTATTATTATTTCAAAATGTTACAGGGGTACAGATGTTTTTGGTTACATGGGTCAATTTTGTTATGCTTGAGTCAGGATTATAAGTGTGCCCATCACCCAGATAGTGTTCATTGTACCCATTAGGTAAGTTTTTGCCCATCCCCTCCTCCCCTATCCCCTCTGATTTGCACTGAGTTTTACATCCCTCTGTGCACATGTGTGGTCATCGGTTAGTTCCAATTTAACAGTGAGTACGTGTGATGTTTATTTTTCCATTCTTCAGGTACTTCGGTTAGGATAATGGTCTCCAGTTCCATCCAAATTGTTACAAAAGGCATTAAGCCATCCTTCTTCTTGGCTGTGTAGTATCCCAAAGTATACATATGCCACATTTTTTTAATCCACTCATATATTGATTGACACTGGGTTGATTCCACATCTTTGCAATTGTGAGCTGTGCTGCAATAAACATTCAAGTGAAGGTGTCTCTTGATAAAATGACTTCTTTTCCTTTTGGGTAAATACCCAGTAGTGGGATTGCTGGATCAAATGGTAGGTTTACTTTGAGTTCTTTGAAAAATCTCCATACTGTTTTCCATAGAAGTTACACTAATTTGTAGTCCCACCAACATTGTATAAGCATTCCTTTCTCTCTGCATCCATTTCAGCTCCTGTTATTTTGGACTTTTAATAAAAGCCCCATTCTAACTTGGGTAAGGTGATATCTCATTGTAGTTTTAATTTGCATTTCCCTGATGATTAGTGTTTTTTTCATGTTTTTTTGGCCATTTCTCTATATTCTTTTGAAAAATTTCTGTTCCTGTTTTTGTCCACTTTTTAATAGGGTTGTTTGGTTTTTTCTTGCTGATTTGCTTGCATTCTTTGCAGATTCTGGTTATTAGCCCTTTATCACATGTATAGCTTCGAATATATTCTCCCATTCTGTAGATTCTCTATTTGCTCTGCTGATTATTTTCTCAGCGGTGAATAAGCTTAATTTAATCAAGTCCATTTTTTTTTGTTTGTTTTTGTTATTGCTGTGATTAACATTGGGGTATTTTTCATAAATTCTTTGCCTAGGCCAATATCTAGAAGAATGTTTCCAACATTTTCTAGAATGCTTATAGTTTCATGGCTTACAGTTTTTTATCCATCCTGAATTAATTTTTATGAGTGGTGAGAGAAATGGATACTGGTGCATTCTTCTGCATGTGGCTATCCAATTTTCCCAGCACCATTTACTGAATAGGGCTTCTTTTCCCCAGTGTATATTGTTATCTGCATTGTCAAAGATCAGTTGACTGTAAGTGGATGGTTTTATATCTGGTTTCTCTGTGTGTTCCATTGGTCTATGTCTCTAGTTTTGTGCCAGTACCATGCTGTTTAGGTTACCATAGCATTGTAGTATAATTTGAAGTCAGGTAATATGATGCTTCCAGATTTGTTCTTTTTGCTTAAGATTGCTATGGCTATGCGAGCTCTTTTCTGCTTCCACATGAAATGTAGAATTCTTTTTTCTAGATCTGTGATATATGCCATTGGCATTTTGATGGGGATTGCATTGAATCTGTAAATCACTTTGTGTAGTATAGACATTTTAACAATGTTGATTCTACTAATCCATGAGCATGATATGTTTTTCTATTTGTTTGTGTCCTCTGCAATTTCATTCCTCAGTGTTTCATAGTTCTCTTTTTAGAGATCTTCCTCCTTGGTTAAGTATATTTCTAGGTATTTTATTTTCTTTGTGGCTATTGTGAATGATATTGAGTCTTTGATTCTATTCTCAGCTTGACTGTTATTGGTGTACAGGAATGCTGCTGGTTTGTGTACATTGATTTTATAACCTGAGAGTTTGCTGAATTTATTTATCAATTCCAGGAGTTTTTTGGTGGAGTCTTGGATTTTCTAAATATAACCTCATATCATCAGCAAAAAGCAATAGTTTGACCTCCTCTTTCCCGATTTGGATACCCTTAATTTCTTTCTCTTGCCTGATTGCTCTGGCTAGGACTTCCATCACTATGTTGAATAGAAGTAGTGACAGTGGGCACCCTTGTCTTGTTCCAGTTCTTAGTGGGAATGTTTTCAAATTTTCCCCATTTATTATGATATTGGGTCTTGGTTTGTCATATATGGCTTTATTATTTTGAGATATATTCCTTCTATGCCTAGTATGATTTCTATTTTTTGAGAGTTTTTTATCATGAAACCATTCTGAATTTTGTCAAATGCTCTTTCTGCATCTATTGAGATGACTATATTGTCTTTTTTTTTTCTTCTGCTTATGTGGTGAATTACATTTATGATTTCTGTATGTTAAACCATCCTCGCATCCCTGGGATTAAGCCCACTTGGTCACAGTGGATTATTTTTTTGATATGCTGTTGAATTTGGTTTGCTAGGATTTTATTGAGGAATTTTGCATTTATATGCATAAGGGATACTGGTATATAGTTTTTTTTGTTGTTGTTGTTATGTCCTTTCCTAGCTTCGGTATCAAGGCAATACTGACTTCATAGAATTAGTTGGGGAGGATTCTCTCCTTCTTGATGTTATAGAATAATTTCTGCAGTACATATACCAGCTCTTCTTTGTTGGTCTAGTAAAATTTTGGCATGAATCCATCTGCTACAGGGCTTTTTTCTTGGAAGGGTTTTCATTACTGCCTCAATCTTGTTGCACGTTATTGTCTGTTCAGGAGTTCTATTTCTTCCTGACTGAGTCTTGAGAGGTTGTGTGTTTCCAGGAATTTGTCCATTTCCTTTATGTTTTCAAGTTAATGTGCATACAGATTTTCATAGTATTCACAGATGATATTTTGTATTTCTTTGGTATCAATTGTAATATCTCCTTTTTTTATTTCTGATCAAGCTTATTTGGGTACTTTTCTCTTCTATTCCTGGTTAATCTAGCAAGAGGTCTATCAATTTTATTTATCTTTTCAAAGAACCAATTTTTTATTTCATTGATCCTTCGCATTGTTTTTTTGTTTTCCATTTCCTTTAGTTCTGCTCTGATCTTAGTTATTTCTTTTCTTCTGCTGGCTTTGGGTTTGGCTTGCTCTTATTTTTCTAGTTCCTTGAGACATGTAATTCAATTGTTGATTTGTGATCTTTCCATCTTTTTGATATAGGGATTTAAGGCTATGAATTTTCCCCTTAGGGGTGCTTTTGCTGAATCCCACAGATTTTGATAGTTTGTGTCCCTTTTGTTGTTTGATTCAAGGAATTTTTTGATTTCCATCTTAATTTTATTATTAACCCAATTATTGTTCAGCAGCAGGTTGTTTAATTTTGATGACTTTGTGTAGAATTATACGTTTCTCTTGGAGATTATTTATAGTTTTATTCCACTGTGGAAGATACATGATTTCTATTTTTCTGAATTTGTTGAGACATGTTTTGTGGCCTGACATTTGTTCAATCTTGGAAATTGTTCCATGTGCTGCTGATGTTCAGTAGTTTGGGGGTAAAATATTCTTTAAAAGTCTCTTAGGCCCATTTGTTGTTGAATCTGGCTTAAGTCCAGAGTTTCTTTATTTATTTTCTGCTTGGATGATTTATCTATCCAGTTCTGTCAGTGGAGTGTTGAAATCCCTGACAGTTACAATAACTCTTTTTTTTTTTTTATCTCTTTGCTTAGATCCGGTAGGGTTTGCTTTAATGAATCTGGGAGCTCCTGTCTTAAGCGCATTAATATTCAGGATTGTTTTTCCTTGTTAAGTTGCTCCCTTTAACATTAGATAATGACCATATTTGTCTTTCTTTA